TGCAATTTAACCAATTAATCTTTTTTTTTCTAGTTTGGTATTTTTTTTTTAAAGATTTTAACCTGTTCCATTTCTTTGGTTGATTTTGTAAAACTTTGTGAATAATCCAAATTTTCGTCTTCGATGATTTCTTCTTCCTCATCAATTTTAAATGTTGACGAAAGGCTTGTTGTTGTAGTTGAAAGTAGTAATTGATTAGATAAATTACTTTCCTCGATTATTTCATTTATTTTAGAAACGAAAATTGATCCATCCGTTTCTGATCCAATTGGTATTAATGAATCAATTTGTGCTACATTACTGTCACCATCAATAATTACCGTTGTTGATATGGAAATTGGTGACATAGTGGTTACAAATTCAGAGAATGTGGACAATGGAATGATTGAGGTATTATTGATCATCATTTTTGATGCTGATGTCATAGCAGGAAATTCCTCAAATGATGATGGAAATGATGATTCAATAGTTACATTCACATTCTTCAGTTCATTTGACATTTCATCGAAATTTTCATCAGTTGCATTCAGAGATATTCCAGCAATTGATTCAGTAGATTTAACAGGACCATCAAATTCAGGATGTCCTGATAAAGTGACCGCTGTCGTTGTTGCTATTTCGGATTTTGGAAATTCCGGAGGTATGCTAAAAAGATGATGAAATTGTAAAAATGATTTTTGAGTAATAAACAGCGGTGATATTGTTGTCAAGATTGGGATACGAGTTACGGTATCGATTCCTGACAGTTCTGGTTCACGAACTGTTGGTTGCAATTCCGGAAATAATTTTATGGGTCTGCAAATAAAACAATCATATTTCAAAGTTTTCAAAATATGATTTCAGGATAAAATGGAAGCGATATCCTATTGCATAGGTAATAATAATGATAACATTTGAATGAATAATGATGATGAGTTTATATTGTTAAAAAAATTTAACCTATTTAAAGCAGCTGATATATTCATTCCGGATTCATCAGATGGATGGAAATTTGCATCAGGATTGATGGAAGAGGGTGTTGTTATCGTTGTCGTGTTCGTAAAAGGTGATAAGTTTTGAAAGGGATTCGGAAATAAGTTTGAAAAATGTGGATGATTTTGAAAAATTGGAGCAATGTGTTGAGTTGATTGAGATTTTTCCGGTATTTCTTGATGTATTGCCGATGTTACAACATCCGGAATTGGTATGCTCATTGTAGATGTAATGTTAGTTTGTACTGATGGAACATGAATTCTTCGCGGTAATTCTTTACAATCAAACCATTCTGGAAAAAAAAGAACCATGATTTGATCAGTTCAATGATTGATAGAATTTGGTATAAAAATTGAAAGATCGGCTTCATTTGGCTTTATTCATATATATATATATATGTATATATATATATATAAAAAGAAAATCAATCGATATCAATCAATATTGCTATTGTTTAACGTTACGTACTTCTCGTTGTCAATTTTTTACATAATATTTCTCATTTATCTTTCTTTCTGAATATATGTAGCAGTAAACTAACCGGATTGTTCATTCAGACAAAGACATTTGTACGTGGCATTGACTAAAACCGGTGAAATTAGCGCAAAATTATCGGAATCCAATTGGCATCGAGCATTACTGCCATATTCAAGGCATGCTTCACGGCTAAAAATATTATTTCAACTGATATTTACTGATTATAATAGTAATACTAATTAAGAAATATATTTGCATAATTAATTTAGGGCGAAACTGATAACCTTTAACATTTTTTCCTCTCTTTCTCTCTATTATTTAATCTTTCATCTCTTCTCTTTTCACTCATTTTATTTTGTCTCTTTTTTTTTCTAGAAAATACTAAAAAAAGATGATGAAAGCAGAAGAGAAAGAAAAAGAAAAAAGGTAAAAGAATTTATTTTAATTTTCTGAAATAAATCCATCAATAAATTTCATTTCACTAACTGAAATTGATTTTTCTCGATTTTATTTATTTTCTCATTTTAAAATATCATTTCCATTTAAAATTAAATTTAAAATTAATTTGTAAGTTTCAAAAAAAAATGGTGAAAAAGGACGAAACAAACTTGGTAATGCACGTATCAATAATATTACAGTTAATACTAAATGTGCCTGTTGGACATCGACATACCGGTACATTACCTTTCAGCTCACAAATACCACCTTGTTCACATTTTGGATTACAAATAAGCTAAAAAAAAAAATTGAATATATTAGCTATAATAATTAATTACTCACTTTGGCAAATTAATTGCATTTTTATTTTTAAAAAACGCATCAATTTCAATACATATTAACTAAAATAATCAATTACTCATTCTAGCAAATAAATTATATTTGTTAAAATTTTTGTACTCTATAGCATTCAAATAATTTAGAAATAATTTTTAACAGAAGTTAAGTGATAACACTATATTTGAAAAGAATATCAAACATAAAATATAAAATATTATTTATCAAGTTTACAATCAAACCATAAATTAATAATAATGAGAAAATGCTTTTTAAAAAAAAAAAAAAAATCAATTCTTAAATTTAATTACTTGAATTAGTTTGCTTTTAATAAAAGTTCAATAATATTATATTGCATAACATGTATGCATAATTTATGCTCATATTAATTAATAAATATTATCAGAATTAATTCAAACCTGTTCACAAAATGTCCCAGTAGTACCTGGTTGACATTGACAATGTGGCACATTATTTTTTACTTGACAAATACCGTTATGCATACATTGCACATTAGCGCATAAGTTTATTTCACACTGTGAGCCAACAAATCCATCTGGACATATGCAAAAAAGCCTGTAAAATTGGAAATTTGCATATTATGAATAGAAAAAAACACACAAAAATCATTAATAATACTTATGTTGCATTCAACTTTATTTTTTTTTTAATCGTAATCTCTCAATAAATCAATCACTGTATTTATCACTAAAAAATGAAAAAAAAAGAAGTAAACTGATAATACTGAAATGTTGTCAATTTTACGTATCTTTTATTAAAAAAGAAACTGATAACGATAAAATGTTATCAATTTTAAGTATCTTTTATTAAAAAATAAACTGATAACGATGAAATGTTATCAATTTCAGTATCTTTTGGTATTGTAAAATTTAAAATTGAATAAATGGAAATGAAAATTTACCCGTCCATCATTTCCAGCAATACAAGTACCATTATTTTGACATTGAATACCCATACAGGCTTGCTCATTAATTCTTATCATATCTGATAATGATGATGATGATGATGTTGTTGATGATGGTGATAACGGTGATAAGAGCTCATGATTTACTGCTGATACAAATGATTCTTGTATAATAGGTGATATCAATTCACTATTTTGTTGAATATCAATTGGTAAATTCCTTCCGAATTCTTTTGTTGTTACTGTCATTTTGATACTTTCAGTAGTAGTAGTAGTAGTAGCGGTAGTAGTAATAATAGCAGCGGTAGTAGTGGTAATTACAGTAGTAATAGTGGAAGTTGTAGCAGTAATAGTAATTCCTGGTATTATTTCAGTAGCAGTTTTAATAGGATTTAAATTGCTAATATTTCCCGGTATAACGCGAGAAAAATCGCGGGAAATCGATAATTTCCCGTCTGATGAGGTAATTCTTGGATTGACAAAATGAAACGGTGCAATACCACTTCTCATATGAGCTGAAATAATAAATTGATTTTAAAATTGATAATATCAAATTTTTTCATTTATTTTGGTTTGTATTCTTTTTTTCTCTTTTTATCCATAATATCAACAAAATCTAATACTTAAAAATTTCATTCAAAAAACTTATTTAAAAATTTTGTTTTATTCCTTTACTCTTTTGTCTTTTTCTTTTTCTTTTTCTTCTCATCAAATATTTGAAATGATATTGATTATATTATGATATGGTATTAATTAAAATAATGCAAATGATAAGTGTGTTGTTTGTGAAATTACCCGAATTGATTGAGGAACATTTTCAAGGTGATAATCACAGTTAATTAAATTATATAAATATTTGATTTTTTACTGGACTTCCATAAAGTTTGAAAAAAATCAATTTTAATTCAAACTATTAAAATGTTTTTGTCTTTTTTAAACAAAAACAATTAATAGATTGTCAATTGAATTTATCAAAAAGAAGAAAGAAAAACGATTAAATAAATACACCTAATGAATTGAATTTATCCTAAAAAGAATAAGTAAATAACAAAATTTCAATTCAAAATTTGAATTGAATTGAAATTAAAAAAATGATTACTTACAAGGATTACCATTTATTGTAAGTACTGAACAGTTACATTCCAATGACATTCCTTGGAAAAAATTACGTTGCAATTTTGGTGGACAACCTTCTAATTTTTCATTTTGTACAATCATATCACGGAAACATTTTGGTCCTTGTTCTAGAAAATAATATAAATATAAGAATTGGTGATATGGAAGGAAATATTCATTGATTTATTAATTTTATCCTTCTTTTTTTCTTTCCATTTAAAACTTCAAAATTTTATTAACCTAAATGTAATATAGGAAAATTAAATCTTAAAGGACAAAAGTATTGAAAGAATCTCAAAAAACTTTAGGAAACAAATCCTTAAACAATAAAATCTTAATAGAATTAAAAGAATCTTTTAAAAAAATAAAAACTTTTAAAAAATAAAATCATGAAAAGATTTTTACAAAAAAATTAAAAACCTTAAAGAACAAAACCACAAAATGATCATTAAAAACATTTAGAAACCATAAAAGACATTTGCACTCTTTTTTTCTTTCCTATCTCTACTCTCTTTTTATTTACATCATTTTATCAAAGGTATTCTTTATTTAATTTTTAAATTAAAAAATTATATCTTACGAGCAAGAATACGTATGGAAAATGTTCGTGGTGAACTGATAGAAGGAAAATGAATTTTTGAAATTGTTGCTTCACTATCGGTAATATTACAAATTAATGATTCCGTTGTAAGTGTCCAGAAAAACCTTCGCCATTTATTATCTGCAAAAAAAAAGAAAAAATGAAAGTAAAAGATAAAAAATAACAAAAAGCAGAAAAAGAAAATAAAAATAAAAAGTAAAAAAATAAAAAATAAAAAATTTATAACAAGAAATAAAAAAATTAAAATTAAAACTGAAAAATTAAAATTCGTAAATATATTTTAGCTCTTTTTTTCTTTCCTATGTAACAGATTGTAAAATGTCAGCAGATTTGATTTTACAACTAAAAAAAAGAAAAAAACGCAAAATTTGTTGATATTGACAAACGCAAATCATTTATTTTTATTTTTATAATTTGTTTAAAAGAAAAAACAGAGCAATAAAAAAGGTAAAAAGGTAATTAATTGGTGGATTAAAACCAATAAATTGATTTAAGGTGACATTCCAATCTTGATAATACCAAAATGAAAATCAACCATTCATTAGCAATTATCATGTGATGACAAATGTTGTCCAGGACGATTAAAAGTTAAAAAAATTCTTTTTTTTTTTTTTTTTTAACATTTACTCACCTCGTGGAGCGTATGATGCGCAATTGCCAAGATGGTTACCATTTGAACTGTCAACTACACTCAACAAATTGGTAAATGGTGATTGTGGTGACCTGAATTATTCCATTCCTCAATCATTTCTAATTTTTTTGTTACAGAAAAAAAAATTACAAAAATAATAAATCTGAATGGATGATGGAAAGAGAAGGATAGGATAAAAGGAAGTAATTAAAATTGCAATTTAAATTTGTCATAAATTGAAGTTCCTGAATGAAATTTAAAAGTAATGGCAAATCTAAAACATTAAACAAATTAAAATGATTAAAAATGACAATTGTAAAAGAACAATTAAAATAAAAAAAATTATGTCCTCTCTCCTAAAAAAAAAGAGTTCTACCAAATTTATTGATAGCAATATAAAAACTTGAAATTACTTGATATTGTTTATTTAAAATTTTTCTTCTGCTATGAATAATTAATAAAAATTTTGGAAATTTTCGTCAAATAAATTTTTCCTTTTATTTTGATATCTGATAGATAATATTATAAAAGGATATAAAATTTTGATAAAATAATTTTTTTTAATTTTTGAAATTGTTTTTTAATACAATACATTTATGTGTAATTTATAAAATATCCTAATCATATAAAATAGCCTAAATAGCTAAGCAATCGGTGAAATTAGCTACAATGATAGAGCCTATTGATATTGATAAAAGATATGTCTAAATGGCTTAACAAATATTTACTCAATATAGTAATACTGTCCAATCCATGGTAAAGTATTCTCGTCAATAATCCATGACATACGCCCACGTTTTGGATCACCAAAATGAGCTGTTGTAATTTCCGCACTTTCATCAAATGCTATTACTATTGCATTTTGCAAGAATACTAAAAATAAAAAGTGTTTTTTCAAAAAAAAATTTTTATTTTCTTTTTGAAATCCAAGATTTGAGAATAAATTTTTTCATTAATTAATAATTACAATTTAAAATCTAAAATTTGAAATGTGGAAATGACTTTTTATATTTATTAATAATTTTATTTAAATAGATTGAATAGTGGAAAGCAGAAAAAGTGTGTGTGAAAGAGAGAGGGAGAAAGACAGGAAGGGAGAGATGGAAGAAAGATTATTTAAAATTTCGTCAATTATTGAATTGCTATACATAATTTATGATTATTTTCAAATATATACCGCTATGATAGATTATAATATCCTTTAAAAGGTTATTTTCTTTTTTTCTTTCTTTCTATCTATCTCCCTCCCTCTCTCTTTCTCTCTCTCTCTATGGTTCTTTCTAATTAATCGCATAAATTAAATTATGATTAACAATACTTCGCAATCACTTAATGTAGTATGTATCTGATCGAAACGATAATAATAATTACGTGTAACTATACGTATAACTACACGTACGTAACGGGAACTATTTTAAAATGATTTATAAAAAGTGATTTATATTTATAAAATATCGTCCCATAAATATAAATGGAAGAAAAAAAAAGAAAAGATTGCTTAATTTTGATCGAGACCGAAAAATTCATGAGAAGAGCAAAGCTAGGTGTTAAAATTAAAAAGCAAAAATTTAAATTTAAAATTAAAAAAAATTTACCTTGCAGAAATGATAAGAATAAGATGAAATAATTTGATAAGAACGTATGCATGGCAACATTCGTTCCTTTTTTTTTTGAACTAATTATTTCGTGTAACAATTTATAGCATCAAACGGATTTTGAACTGTTACTGCTAAAATGATAAAATCATGATAAGAAGATAAAGAACAGCATCATGAAATAAATCGTGATAAATCGCTTGGAAGTTGATAAGCAACATTCATAAGTAACATTTGCAAATGATAAGCAACATTCGTTACAAAAAAATTACTTTAATTGAAATTAATTGCTTCAAATCAATTACTAAATTAAATTAATTACTTCCGTATTAATTGTAGTATCAAAGATATTAAATTTGTTAATGCTAATCATAATAAGAAAATGAAGATAATAAAGGTATGATAGGAAAAAATCGTGATAAAACACTCGAGAACCGTAAATATATTCATGATAAAATAAACAAAATAATAAATTACAACTCCAAAATTATTTATTTTGAAAATTATTAGCTTAAAAACCCTTTTTTAAAAATTTTGAAAAAATGTAGTTTTTTCCCTTCAGATTATTGATCTTTTTTTTCTTTGAAATTAATAAAAGATTATAAATAGTAATAATAAATCATTTTTTATTAATTTTTTAATTAATAAAGGAAAACAAAACTCATCACCAAATAATGAAAAAGCGGGAGAGAAATTGATGAATGAAATTCTATTTTGTCGAGTGATATGCAAAAAGAAAAAAGAAAAGAATCAAAAATATTGAATTATTTCATTCCCTAACAATCACAATTATTAAATTTTAATTAAGTCATCAAGAATAATTATCAAATTTATTGTAAATAATAAATACACGATAACCATATTTAACTTTAATGGATACTGTAGTGAAAAGGATTCTGATGATCATCGTTAAGTTGATGGATAGCAGTTATTTAATCAAATTGCTGGTACAATAATAACCAAATTTCATTTTAATTAATCAGGCTTTCAAGAAAAATTTGAAAGAAAATAAAAGTGGAAACTTTCTAAATTTGCATACTTCATGATAAATGTATCCTACTTTAACTAATCAAGCTTACAGGGAAAGTTCAAAATAAAACGAAATTGAATTTATGCATTTTTTTTTTAAGATTGTTAACAAATCTGCAAAATTTTGATTCCCAATAAAAAAAGATAATTATTGTTTGAATTACAAGTAAATATGCATGTAAATTACTTTTTATTTTGTAGATTATTGCAACAGGAAATAATATTCAAAAGAAAAAATTCCACGAATTTTATTTAGAAACAAAAAAGATTTAATTTGTTAAGAAAGGAAAAAAAAAACTTATAAAACAATAATGGCAACAACAATAACAACAACGGCAACAACGGTAACAATAACAACAACAGCAACAACGGTAACAATAACAACAACAGCAACAACGGTAACAATAACAACAACAGCAACAACGGTAGCAATAACAACAGAAACAACGGTAACAGTAGCAACAACAATAACAAAATGTATAATAAAAAAATTTTCGAGTAATCCAACAAATAAAATATAATGGAATACTTATGTACGAGTAACGAATTTGAAGTATAACACATA